AATTGCTTATTTTTAATAACAGATCTTACCTAAGGTTCTCCCACCTTCTTTGCAGAGTCTCTGCTATGTAGTATAGTACAGCTGGATGAAAAAAATGTTTAATTCCAGGTGTACAATTTGCAGCCAGACATCTGTGTTATAAGTTTTATATGATTGGTAATTAAAAAAGAATACAGTGGTATGTTGTTTAGGATCACAAGATGATTATGAATACATTAACTCTGACACGGTGTTAAGGTGTTATTTGTGCTTGGAATTTCCAATATTATAAATGTGATGGAATAGCTTCACATGACAAATATTCAATATTCTACGTCAATGCAAGTAGTCAGTAAAATTGTGCAACCATGTGGGTGCAGGAAAAAAGATGACTCATTTACAGATGTGCTGATGATGAATTCTTCATCACTGCACACAACCCGGGGCACATCAGGAATCAAACAAGTATTTAAATAACCACCATATTTCCAACTGGACAGAATCTTGGAGGAAAAAAAAAAAAAAAGACATAACCTGTCTTCAGCTCCTTTTTAAACAGTTTTTGCTGGATATAAGAAAAACCCGTAGAACCTTTGGGAATTAATTCCTCTATAAAATAACAACTGAAAAAGCTACTGACTTAACTCCAAAATATCCCACTTCCCTTCCAGGTGGAGTCTTTGCTGCTAGTACTAATACCTGCAAGAAGTTGTGTGGGTCGGTATTATTTATCTTCTAAAGGTTTCTAAAAACTTACTTCATTCTATGAGTCTAATTCATAGAGTCTCTGCAACTTATCTGTCCCAGAAAAAAGGCAGCATTGCATCATTGTCCAGAAAGAAGAATGTGAGAGGGCACATGCCATGTTCCAGTTCCAGATTGTTACTCTGTACATTACAGTATAATCTAATGTAAACCTGTAAAAGTGGAATAAAGTTCTTCAATTTTAAGAGAGCCTTGAAAATCTTCAAATTATTGCAAAGGACAATAGATGTTTTCAAGATGGAATTACTGCATGCCTGAGAGAAAAAAAAAATCCTAGTTTTCATTTTATCTAATATTCACAGGTGATATTTTGACATGGTTGACTGAACTTAGTCACTAGATCTTGATTACAGTTTGGCATTTCCTTCTGTGTAGGCTGATCCATCGGGAATGCTGTTCATACTAACACTGAATTAGAGCATGATGACTCAGATGATTAATCAGCTTTCCTTTTTCTTATTAAGAAGCAAATGTTTGACTTCTCCAACTGCTAAAGTGATGATTGTCAAGCCTATATTATAACTCACATAGTTTTGGTCACCCCTGAGTCACATTCTAAGAGAAGGAAAGTAAACTTGTCTATGATCTCTTACACAGCTGTATAGCTGACAAACACAAATAACAATACTGCATCCTGTGTTTTCTGTTTGCCATAAAGTCCTTGTCATTTGAGAGAGAATTTTTTTCCTTTCCTGTTTCTTTCCAATCAAGATTTGTCCCTAGTTTGGAATCAACCTTAAGCACATGGTTTATGGGTTCTGACAGTAGTTCATACTGCTGTCAAATTGCCACTGAAACCAGACCACATGAATTTTGCTAGGTAAATCTAGTCACATCCTAAACAAGATAGCACGGAATCTACAGATGAACCGTGTCTCTAATCTTCAGTCCAAAAATTTGCTGAATTTATGAACCAAGTTGACTAAAATAAAGAAAAAAAATCCACTTTTAAAAATTTCACCTTAATTAAACATGGAGCTTCCTTTTTCTTTCATAAATAGGTAAATCGCAACAGAAAGCCAGACAGCATACAAAGTATGTGATCATTGACATGAAATGTACACGGTAAATGGACATAATGAACCTAGTTAACCAAATATCAGCTAAAGGCATGATGATTCTAAACACACAAAAACTGTCACTCTCCCAGCTTCCAACTAAGTAGATCTCCCAGCATGGAAAGGTTACTAGTTATGGGGAAGAGTTTAGAAAATTAATGACGTTAAAAATGAGATTCATTGGCAACTGTAATTCTAACTCCACTAAGCATCGCCAGAGGCCTGACATGAAGAAACAAGTACTATTTCAAGCAGGCTGCAAAGCCTGTGGACAGATTAACATCTGTCAGAATCATCTACAGTCAAGATCTTACTGATCTTTGAATGCCACAAGTCTTTAGAACATTTACTTTTTCTTTAAAAAAAAAAAAATCACAGATCTGTGGATTTAGTTCTTATATTTTAAATACCTTTCCCTATTACACCTGGGTGTGATGTAGCGAAGTGTTAAAAGGCAGAAGATGTAGTTCTTCTGAGTTATACACTGTCAAGCCTGGCCTTGTATGTAAAAGAGGAGCAGGGAGCAGTTCTGTTGCTGTAGCTAGCACTGCTAATACTAGCCTCCAAACTGTTGATGTTCATGTTTAGACTAGGTTGCTGTGGATTTTGTTTCTGCCTTATCCCTGTCTATCATTAGTAACAAGATTAAGACTTTACCCACATTCTTCTAATTAAAATGCCAGAATTCTGGGAAGAGATTACAAGTCTTCTTCTAGCAAAGTAATCAGGTATTATCAGTATATCTGGGAGTTCAAGTTACCACTTCTTAATATCAAAGTTTGCACAAAGTTAGCACTTATCCATGCAAGCCAGAGAATATACTTCTGATGAAGCACTGTGTTACCTCTGAATATATAGCTCATTATCCACACTGGTTAGAGTAGCAGGTTTCATTTTGTAGTATAGGCATCAACAGCATTTGCATACTATAGTTTAGCTGCAGTGCTGCTTCAAGCTGTTGAATTCACAGGTTTTGGAATTGCCATCCTTCTCAATAGTTTAGGTAACCGAAGATTCTTCACATCTTGCTTGGGACATGTGATCATTTGTGTGAAACATTTTTCCCTTATTAAACTGTAAGAAACATGTCATAAATTTCAAGCTGTATTGCAGTTACCAGCTGTAGCCTTTAAATATTGTTTACCAGTTATTAATTCTGTAGCTTCTCATTCCTATAACAAGTTACTACCACAGGTTTTTCAGAAGTGCCTCCTTCCACTTTGTCCCCTTCCTCTATATCTTTTATATGGTATGTGAAACAGTACTAAAATAAGTTTTTTCAGTTTCTGCAAGACTATTTTGAAGAATGTACAGTGAGAATTTTTTTTTTGCAGCAGCAGCAGTTTGGTCATCCCAGTTCCAAGAATTTATACAATCTATCTGTTGATAGTTCTAACTCTGTAAATGGAAAAAGATTCATCCTTAATATAATAAAAGATCCTGGGAACAGTTACACACTGGTAAGCACAGTGACAATAATCTTCCAATCCTGTCCTATTTTTATTAAAACTACTGCACTTCAAACCCTGCATATAGGGAAAGTCAATGAACCACACAGGTAGTTTAAGTGTGAATAGTGCAGCAACAGTAGTGAGTAGCATCACTTTGCAATTTAGGCATTCAAATTTGTTCAGACTAAGAACAAGGCCAAACAGAATTCTAGAAAAAGTGCGGAAACATGCAAGAGCGCAACTAAAAGGAAAGAGATGGATCTTCCCCATTATACTTTTTGACTGTAGTAAAAAATGCATTCAGTAACCAGATGGTGTTGGAATACAGGAAATCAACACATAAGAACATTCATTTCATAAGGATAAGTGCTAGGTCCTGCACTTGGGCCATAACAATGTGATACACCGGTATAGGCTTGGGGAAGAGTGGCTAGAAAGTTGCCCAGCAGAAAAGGACCTGAGGGTGCCAGTCAACAGCCAGCTGAACACGAGCCAGCAGTGTGCCCACGTAGCCCAGAAGGCCAATGGCATTCTGCCTGCATCTGAAACAGCAAGGCCAGCAGGACTAGGGAGGTGATTGTCCTACTTGAGAGTCCTTTACAGAGAGAACAAAGTGCAAAAAAGTCTTAGTTTAAATGAAGTACAGGCTTTAGCAACCTCTGCTTGAGAACCGGAAACAGGGATTTGAATTCACCTGTCAACCTCAACAATTCTTATAAATCTGAGCTTCACAATACACTTGTCATAGGAACATCTTAGGGTTCTTAGAATCATTGAATCATCTAGGTTGGAAAATACTTTTTAGATCATTAAGTCCAGCCATCAACCTGACTTACTAAGTCCCATCACTAAACCATATTCCTTAATGCTACACCCATACATTCCTTAAATACCTCCAGCAATGGGGACTTCACTACTTTCATGGACAGCAATATTAAAAAGGATCACCTCTTTTCTTTACACTTTTCTGTTTAACTGTCCTCATACATAGAATAACCTGAGAACTGCTCAAGGACACAGGCATTTCAGGGACAGCTGCAGACTGCCAGCAAGGGAAGACGTCTTGCACACTGTATCATCATTCACTTCTCTCTGCATATTGCACAGATCCTCAGTCAAGCATTGCACAAGGTGATGATGTTGCAGGGTGGTCAGAGTGTGGTCAAAATCCAAAGGTCCACTGGTTCTACCTTAAATTTAATTTCACCCTAAATGTCTGTGTGGAGAAGAAAAGCCTCCTGTCTTAAAACATTCACAGCAGCTGCCTCCTCTCAAACTCAGACATAATATAAAGACAGAAAACTCCTACTCACCCTCTGCTCATTGGGTTTGCACCCAGGAGACCATACCATACAGCTAATATACTGACTCAATTCAAACCATCTTTGCTCTCTGGGAGCATTAATCAGATGTTTTGTGTAACAGCTGCCTGCCACACTGAGGACACTGGGAGCTTTGCACAGTAAAGAAGTTTGAACTGTATTTTTCTGGCCTCATACCTTTAGTGTCAGGGTTTCATGTAAAGCAGAGCTGAGATTCTCAGAGCATACAAATGAGGTAGCCTAAATCAAGACACTGTGCTTTCTTATTCAGTTCATGGAAAAGCAGTTTGAATTATTTTTTCTGAATATATATTTTGTTGCTGAGAATCCATTGTTTTGTTACAACCTGTCTTTATGGTTGCCAGCATAGCCTTGCAGCAGTGCATATCACTGTGCAATGGATTAATACAGTAATGAGTAAATACCTTCCACAAAAGATGAGAGCTGAGATGCATATGACAACAGATGTCCATTACTGCAGCGAGGACTGGGTAGAGAAGCAGCGTTCCATGAGGCAGCTTAACTCAGTATTTGAAAGGAGAAGGTAGGAAGACTTGCAGATAGAGGAGGGAACACATTCAGAAGCCACGTGCAGCAGACAAAATGCTTGGAGCTGGAAAGCAAACAAAAAAGAGTATGTTAAGACATTGGTATGACCTGGAGCGGGACTCTATTCCAGAGAATACAAAATGTTACCAGTGTGAAGAAATAGCATCTGTTTCCACACATCCTGAACAGGTACGGAAATCAAGTTTGCAATGGTTTACAGTTAACAAAGGCAATCTTCTAGCCTGGTTACTGTTCAGAACAGAAAACATACAGGGGAAAAAAAAAAAAAAAAGCAGGTATGGAGCATTTTGCATAATGTTAACACATTTACAGAGAAACCATACTTTAATGTCAAGTAAGTACCAAGTACAAACCTACAAAGCATTAAAGTACATGGGCAAAGTAAAGAAGTCAATTTCTAAAGCTATAATTTGAGTTTTCTAGTAGCAATTTCCACACTGTCAAGTAAAATAAATCATTAGAGAAGAAATTCAATCATTGAGAAGTCTCCATAGGTCTCATGAAGGTAAAAGACCTGATTTAGAAATAAGAATGAATATCAGATAAGTTTTTGTTTGTTTGTTTGTTTTTAAGCAAGGAGGGGGGAGTGGTGAGGGACAAGGGAGAAAAGGGACATAGCTAGTTGTTAGAGAAAGAAACTGCTCAGTAAGAATCCAATGCTACACTTCAGATTCTTCACTTTCTCCAAAAGTAATTTCTACTGATAGACCAAAAGCTAGTGGTGAGGCTCATTTAAAATGGCTTACCATTTTTTTTATGGAAGATGCTACACAGCAAAGTAATATTTCGTTTCAGTATGGATTATTTCTCTACCATCTCAGAAATCCCTGAAGGAACAGAGAAGCATACCCATTTTGTAAGATGGGAGTTTTATTTTGCAATCCTTTGTCTATATCTTCACATTATTTTTTAATGGAAAAAAAATCCCACCTATCACTGTGAACCGCTCTGGCTACAAAAGGTTTATGAACTACAATCAGCTCCTGAGCTGTGGTACAATATATATTTTAAGTTTCTCTCAACTCTAGCCTTTTTTGCTGCCTCCTTCATGTATTTTGACTTGCCAAATACAGACATGCTTCCATTTCCCTTCTGCATTTCCAGAATTCCTGCCCCATTAAAATATCTTTGATGCTTTTTATCAGTATAAAGACATTGGAAAATTTGTAGATAATAAAATTCCTTTTTGAGCTAAAGAATGAATGGAACAGGAAAGCCTAAAACACAAACATCAATTATTAAAAGTCATGCGGATCCTAGCCATCATTTCTGCATGTTATTTGTACTTACATAATGTTATTTTCCAAGTTCGGGATCTAGAGAAACATTACACATGATGAAATCTATACTTGAGAATCTGTTCGTGATATATCAGCTAATTTTTATTTTCACCTTTTTTGGAGTTACTGCATTTTATGTGTTACACTACAAGATCTGTCAAATCTCTAAAAATCTCATTGGTTTCCTATTGCTTTGCATCCTGGCAGAAAAATGGAAAATGATAACAAAACAAAAAATCATGAGCTTGAATAAAAATAAAATGCTAGTATTGCTCTTAGGATTCAGCTGGTTCTTATTAACCCGGGTTTGGACAAGAATCAAGATTTATATTCCCTTCTCAATAGCTGGAATAAGATCATTAGCTGGAAAAGCTTACTGGCCCTCACAGACATTGTATTTTTCTGCCTTAACTACTTTTGGCTGCAAGATGGGATGCTTACATTGTAGTATGATTACCCTTGTACCTTCTCTTCTCAGATTAATTCCCGTTTGATTTTGATAGTTTCATAAAAATGAATCTGAAATTCCAGTCCTTTCAAGTAGTATAAACCATCTTTTTAATTCTCTGGGTTTCCTCTCCATTTCTAGTCATTTTGTATCGGAAACCTCAGGACCAAATATATCAGGCTAAAAACCTGGCTAGACACCTGGCAGAACAAGCTCAAGAACCATTTGTAGAAATTATTTGTAGAAACAGAGAGGGGAAAAAAAAAAGCAGGTGTAATTCTTACACCCACCCTCATGCAGTTCTTGAGGATTCCCTATCTTCTGTAGCAAAAAGGGAATGACACAACTTCTTGTGTTTGGACAGGTGAGCATAGGTGAGCAGCAACCTTGCATGCTGCCAGGTGGTTGGGCAGGATTGAGGTATCTGTCATCATAGATCTCAAATGCATCCAACTTAATATGAGTCGGACAGATTTATCCCATTTATGCTGCAGTAGTTTTCCTGTCAGTTAGCACCTGAGATTTCAGTCACTGCTTCATACCAATGAATTAGGATTTATGAAACCCTAGCATTCTACAATATATATATATATAGTTTGTAGTCCATATTGAAAGTACCAAACCAATCCTCATATGTAATTTCTTAATTTTAGGATTTGCTTAAATAGATGATAATACATAGATTATATGCAACTGTAGTATGCTCAGATACCCATCATTTTTATTTCTTTCTCACTTACTTTTACCAGTTTTATTCCACTGGGGCCACTGACTTCAGGCCAATCAGGTTCACATGATCCTTCTAAGGTTGGTTTCTGCTGTTTATTTTCAGAGAGATTTCTCTCAAGTGACCGTTATTTCATTTTTCCTTCACTGCATTTAAAGAGATTTTTATCCTGACAGAGATCAGGATCTGATATCTTTTATTTGCTGAATGTCAGTTTGTTATCTTAAATATGATAGAATTTCCTCTTCTGTCAGGGCAGCTATGTGCATGTTTATCATTGTGTAACAAGTCAGCCTGCCACAAAAAGAGCTGTATCCCACTGCAAGTTTTTACTGTTACGCTCTCCTTCACATCATGTAGTATGTTCTAAAGAAAGACACATTTGAAATGACTGCTGAAGACTAAATTACCATAAGCATATTCTACGTGTCAGAGTACCATGATTCCGACACATTTGAAATGACTGCTGAAGACTAAATTACCATAAGCATATTCTACATGTCAGAATACCATGATTCCAAATATCAGAAGTCTCTATTGTGTTTTACAATTCAGTATTTACAAAATGAGCCTTTTAGAACTAGAGCTCTGTGTGTCCTGTGCAAGAATCTTCTCATTGATGTGCTCTTCTGTCAGTCTCCATCATCTACTGCTAGAATCCAGCACCTGTTTCTGCAGCCTGGATCTCTCCCACCAAACAGTTTCATTCAGCTCCCTGCACAGAATAATTGTCTCATCAATGAAACTAGAAAGGTGATGGACAATAAAATCCCAAAGCATTTTTTTTTGGCTCAAAACATGTTCAGAAAACAAAGGAATTATACTCCTGCATTTCATTACTTATGGCTGAGGTTTCAGGACAAGAAAAATGGGGTTTTAGGAGAGCTCTCTGTTGCTGCGCATTCATCCTTTGAAGTGAGCCCTGGGAAGACTATCACAGTGATAGTATTATCTGAAGGCAGCTTCCCTGCAGAGGCCCTAGCAATTGAAATATTTATGTACTGGTTCCAGAGGATAGCGGTGACAAAATTAGACTCCTGCAGATAAGCCATTCCCATTACTTATGCCCCAATAAGCATGAAATAAAGCTTAAGTACAAAAGTTTTCCAAATCCTTATCAGTTTCCAATTTGGTGTCTCCACATCACCCTGCACATCATCATTCATAGCACTCTTTTCCTTTAACTATCCAAAATGGACACAAGCATCACAGGCTATCAAGCATTCTTGTAATTATCATTGCCTAGACTAAACTTGAATCAGAAATCTAGAAGCAGATAGGTCCATGTTTGTAGAACATCCTGTGATGATGGTGATGATCATGGTGACACGATGCATGATAATTGCTGCAGGGCAGCATTTTTCTCAGTGTACTGCTCTCCCTATAAATACTCAGAGCATTTTGGTACTAGAGGCCTTTAGAACAAAAGGAAGTTCATGAGACACAGGTAGTTCCAAATGGCTCTTCAGTATACATAAATCTCTTATTGACAGCATGAGTCACAGTAGATGTAATAGAGGAATTAAATCTTGAGTCCATTAGAAATTCTTATTTTCTTGCTCATAGCTAAGATCAAGAGAAAGTTGAAATGCAGTGCCTCTGACACTGTTCTTAGTCATAATGGCTTTAGGATTCCCTTCAATGCCTTCCAGGTCTCAGAATTTTTTCCCCCTCCATTGCTATTGCAAAATCTTAATTTGGTTACTGGTTCAAAGTGAGGGTGTGCCAGTAGACACTTTCTCTTTAACAGCAACCTCACCATCAACTGCCTCCCTCATTTCTCTGTTAACCAGAAGCAGTGATATAAAACTAATACACTACTTGTTGCTTGTTTTGGTGACCTCTGTAATCCTATTTGCTGCATAGACAGACAAGCATATAATCCATCACTGCAAATAACATCAGAAAATAAGTGGCAGTTTACCAGCTGCAAATCATCAGCTAAAAGTAGCCCTACCACAGCACACATTCCCCATACTGTGTAATTACAGAGAACTGCACAAACTTCACTGTTGGTTCAAACCCAATATAGTATGAACATCTTCTTTTGTCATTCTTGTATAAAGCAACCACTCCTCAGCTCTGAAATGGAGAATATTATCAGATACTTTGGGGACTCTGTCCTCATAAGCATACTCCCTTGTTCTTCCACACTTTCTGCATTAACTGCATGAGAGTTGAGAGTATTGATCTTATTTGCACTAGGGAGCTCACTTCTGAAATGTGCTTCATTTCATAAGTTCAAAATACATAAGCATTTCTGTAATCACGAAGACAAAAAGATTCAAATGTGCTGCTTTCTGTTTATTTTTTTTGCACAACCATGAAATCCAACAACTTTAAGAACGACAGAAAACAACATTCCAAATTGTATCATCCTTTAGACTACAACATTCTATGTCTATGTTTATTGCCTATGGTTATTTCTATTCAGAAAAGTATCTGTTTGCTGTGTTTGAGCCAAACTGAGCATTAATTTATCTCTTCCCTTACAAGCACAGGAACTCCTTTAATGGAATCTGGTGACTGTACAATTAGAAAGCTGTACAGTTTCCTCCATCAACATAAGGTACCAAAAATATTCTGTATTACAGACAAATATACTTCATTCTTACTAATTTTTATGGATAGTAATATCACATTAATAGACCAATTCAATTCTAGTGCTTCACTTTACCTTGTCAGGAAAAAAAAAAAAAAAAAAAGAACCTCAAGACTTATGAGACAGGTAAGTCTCACACATTATCATTGGTTCCTGTGATTTAACAGCCTAATTACTCTTGGCTACCAAATGTATATTTGGATGTTCCGCAAGTCATTTTTGCTGAAATGGCATGGATTGGAAATCATTGTAGGACTTGCATTTTTCATTTAAGAATACTGCAGTATAAGCTGATAGTATTCATCTCAAGAGTCCTGTTTTTTGTTTTTCTCTCCTAGCCATATCTAAACAAACTGTCTGTATCTTGAGGACTTCAATGTGTGTAAAAAGCCTACGTAAAAAAAAAATTAATTCAATGGGTTTGAAAACATCTGAGTATTAAAAGACGTTTCAAACCTTAACGCTTCATTTCTTAAATTGAATTTAATACATAAAGATGGTAAATCAGCACAACACAATTCCAAAAATTGAGCTTTAGCCATTTTTACCTAATTTAATTCTGATTTAAACAAATTCCATAGTCTCTTGTATAGATACACAGCTGTAGATTGGCTACATCAGCAGAAGTTTTTTTTTGTGGACACAACAACACATATAAAAGTAAAGCAAATAATATTGGTCCCACTCCATATAATGGAAATCTTCAGAGAATTAATGTGTAGGTAGGATTGCCATTTCTGAACTCTAATATCACTACATTGATTCTGTCTCTCTATAAAGTGTGAATTGCACATGGAATAAGAAACAAGTAATTAGGTATTTCTGTGTAATTGGATGAATAAAGAAAACAGATCACTTTCAGCTCAGAAAACTGTATTTCCAATGTGCCTGTGATCAAAAATGTGTGCACCAAGTAGTAAGTGCCTAGGATAAAACTGATACATAATTGGAGCTTCAATGGTGCAGTGCAGACAACAACAAAAAGGCTTCTCTAAGCATTTTGGAAAAATTTTGTTCCTTCAGTTCAAGCAGCAGTAAACTCTATGCATGCTGGGGATGCTCCGACCTGCTCAGTATTATATATATATATATATATATATATATATATATATAAAATATATATCAATACCTATGTGAGGTGTCTGAATGGTCCTGTTATAAACCCAAGGCTCAGTCTCAGTTTTCACTTTCATGCTGGTAGAACTGTAACACAGCAGTATGGAATTAATTACTGACTGCCTCACCAGGTTTTTGTTTATTTTCCTGGTCTTTCAAGTCTCCCATCAAAAGCTTTGACAAAGCTTTAGCCTCTAACAAATGAATAATGAATAATGAATAAAGGGGTTTTCCACTGTCTTTTTCCACTTAGTGCTCTCCACCCCATCACAACACTCACATTCAGCTAAACTGCGTGGCAGTCAACATTCAGATCACACAGTTACCAAAACCTAATTGGAAGAATTGAGCCTTACTGGGTCCTGCATCTGCAGTGGGACAACCCTGGCTATACATACAGACTGGGCAATGGACAGCAGCCCCGCAGAGAGGGATCTGGGCGTTGTGGTTTACAGCAAGCTGAATATGAGCCAGCAGTGTGCCCTGGCAGCCAGGAGGGCCAACTGTATCCTGGGGTGCACCAAGCAAAGCACTACTATCCGGTTGAGGGAGGTGATTGACCTGCTCTACTCTGCACTGGTGCCGTACCAGAGCAGAGCACAGCAGGACAATCCCTTCCCTTACCAGCTGGCAGTGCAGTGCCTGAGGCACCCTGGACACATCTGGCCCTATTGGCTGCCAGGGCACACTGATGGCTCAGATTCAGTTTTTTGTCAACCAGTACCCCAGATCCCTTTCCACAGGGCTTTCCAGCCTCTCATCCCCAGTCTCTATGTACAGCCAAGGTTGCCCCATCCCAGGTGCAAAGCATAAGATAAATAAGAGCATTAGAATTTCTTTTTTCCATGTCTGCATGAAAGACTTTAGGTATCATCTCTTCACTGAAACAGTGCTGATTCCAAACAATCAGCAGAGTCCCATCACTATTACTGGATAACTTGTGAGATGTTTCATCCCTCTGATCTGCATACTTTTTTTCTCCACTCACTTTCACTAAAAGCAATGCTATAACAAAACAGCCCAGTGAACTTTGCAACAGCATTTCTTCATACACAACTCAAACAGTGATGGGGTGTGTGGGGAAGCTGGAACTCTCCTGTTGGTAGATAGTATTTTGTATGAAATGTTACACGCGTTCACTGTATGTCTTAACAAAAACTTGGATAAACTGAAATTACTTGCAACTGACTGTTCAGAATGTATAGTAGGTTGCACATTGGCAACCCTCCTTCAGGATCCCTAAAGGACTTCCAGGATTCAGGGCATCGTCGTAAGGATAGAAGGCATGGGCCATAAACAGTATAATTAAGATGTGTGCAGAGCACAGGAATGGATAGGACACAGATAGGTTCATGTCCTGCAGGTAGTATAAAGGTCTGGGCAACCTACTTTAGGTATAAAAAAAAAAAAAAAAAAAAAAAAAAAGGTACCTCTGTCTTACAAACATGGTGCTTTTGAAAGTCAAGAACTGCACTTTTACAACTGTTACACCATGAAAATGAAAAAAGCACAGTTCAGAAAGCCAAGCGAGTGAATTTGTCCCTGAACTCCTGCTATCAAGTGGGAAAGGGTACTGAAAACACGTATTTGCTGGCTAATTACTGAAACAAATACTTCTACTTCTAGTGGAACGCAGAGTAAGCAACTCCCAGACTCAGCTACGCTGCCAAACTGGCCTGATGGCATGTTGCAGCCAAGCCCAGCTCAGCATCTGGATGAAATAAAGACCTTTCTGGGGAGCAGTTTTTTGGGCAGTATACTCAGAGGTAAGCACAACACACACACTTTCTCAGAGCAGACCGAAATAAGATTATTATCAGTATCACACAGTAGCCCGAATGCCTATATCAGAAATGTTTACATAAATATAGGTAGCAAGACACTTAACTAACATATAAATGAGAATGAGAATTGTCATTCTGAACTTAAAAAAAAAAAAATATGGATCTATCTTCTGAAGAGTGAAGATGAGAGAATTTGCATTTTTTAGAAATTTTATTATTTTGGGAAATGCTTAGTTCTTTGAAATATTAAATGAGTTGCTTCACTGATATCTGCTAGCTAGCTATTATCTGGCTAAAATGGGAGTTTCCATTTACTCTTTCTTCTCTTATTGTGCTTCCATACGCACCTTTTGCAGGGAATGTTTATGTATAACGAGAGATGGTCTGCTTAGATGGCACAGTGCTCACTAAATATCCTCTGTTTTAGTACAGTTCTTGCATTTTTGGTATTAAAAGACTTGTGGTAACCTTTGTGGCCAATGTGACAAACATTTTACTACCAGCACTAAAAATGGCAGCTATGCATCTCCTGGAAGCTCAGGTGGCTGCACATGGCGTGTGCTCTGAACACATTCAGAAAGCACCATTAAAGGATTCAGTAGCTATGCACAAGATAAAGTTTAGAAATAACCCCCCAAAACAGCCCCTAAAATATATGTACATGTCAGAAAAAGTCACAATCCCAACAGTCTTAAGACACACATATTTTTTTTTATTTTTTTTTTGCTTGTGTTGTCATCAAGACTAATCCACTTTTTAAATATGTTTGGTTTTCATTTTCCACTAATGTAATAATTGATAAAAAGACTCGATTTTGAATCTTCAAGAAAACTACCAGGTATTCCAAATACATTTTGTCTGTCTCTTTCTGGTTTTGTGTTAATGGCCTTAAAACAATAATGTTAGCATGTGCAACCTAAGAAAGAAGCTCAGAGAACAAAGGTATGGCACAAAACCAGAAATGAGCTTTTTGCTGGCATTGCTATGCCTCTATCCTATAGAAGGAAATAATAAAAACAGGTTTTATATGTAAACACAATAGGTTGAGGCTGCTATTGGCATGCCTAAATTGTTTCTGGAGTGTGTTCTGCAAACCTTTTCCATTAACATTTCTGTTGGAAAAGCTAACTTTTTAGAGATGTAATGAACCATCTGATTTTAATTTGGTTGTTGAACAAGGGGTTACACTTTGAATTGTGCATAGCCAAGTTATTGAGCTACACCCAGCTTTATTTCCTTATACAGATAATGATGACTGCTCAAGCATGAGCAGCATGTGGGTAAGCAGCAACCCTCAGACTTGTTTTAAGTAAATTAAAATAGCTGGATAAGTAAAGGTTTTCTCTGTGGGAGAGATTTTACTCTCCTTATCATCATACTGTTCCCAGATCTTCCAGCTTAATGGTAGCAGAGAGATCTGCTAATACAGCTTTTGGACTTTGTCTCCTTTTGTCCCCCTGATGGAGGGACTGTAACATCTTTATACTGTTCAGTCACTAGCTCTGTTTGGCATCTCTTGCTGATTTCTTAAATGCTTGTCCAGCCCTGCACAAACACAGCTGTTTATTTCATTTCAGCTCTTGTCCAAGATAAAAAGTATCCACATGAGATCCTATGGGACATCTAAGGGTTCTGCATTTTCTACAAGATTGTGTTCTTGCAAAGCTAAAGCCCTAGTGAGTGCTTTAGTGATGCTTTGAATTCTAGTCTGAGAAAGATGAACAGAAAGGGGGAACTTCAATTGTCATTGACCCACACCCAGGAAAAACATTAAAACATGCTGGGAAATCACAGTGAAATTGCGGAGCCTAATTCCTCTTTTGAAAAACCCTGTTTGTCCAGTTTATGTGCAGCTGCCTGCCTGCTGGCTGGACACAGTGTAATTCAGGGCCAGCTGAGACATGTCAGGCAAAACAAAGCACTGAGCCAGGGGAGAAGCCTGTCTTGAAGGTTTTTCTTTTCTTTTTTTTTTTTTTTTTTTCTGTTTATACTGTCTCTAGTTACTATTTCTTCACAAAGGAAATATAATGTCTGCTTTTAGCTGCAATTTCAGATCCTTTTTGAGTCTCTCATATTCCCAGTATGCCTGCCACCCGTTTGTTACCTAGCACATAGCTGAATTAGCCAGCACATGGTAATTAACCTAACAAGGTATTACTGCTACTGGTCTTCCAGTATTATACTGTTCTTCAAGATGTTTTAGATATTTGTCTTAACATTTTTCCACACCCATAAAATCATGCATATTCTCCACCCCAAAGGAAGAATAGCACTGGCTTTAGATATACTGTACAGAGACATTTGTGCAACTTCTTATTCACAGAACTTTGAAAAAAAAAAAAAAGGATGGTGTTTCTCTATATACCCAGAACTATGACCCCAATGGTTTTAGCTATGCTGTACCTAAGAAACCAACCAAAAATAGCCTATCATCCATGGTGCTCCTATGTAATATCCATATTTGTCCTAATAGGCAGCCTGAACTTGGACAAATCCCATCTGCCCTTGTGACATGTGGTGTCTGAGCTCTTCTGGGAAGGAGCCTGGGCTTTATCTGCCCAAAATCAGCAATGTGGTGCGTCCTGAAAGGGCAGATGGGATAGATGGAGGCTGCTGGAGGCTGCTGAGCCAGCCAGAGTGCTGGGGCATGTCCACATGGCAGGTAAGTGTGGCCGTGAGTGTGCGATAATGGCAGGATTCACTGGGGTTCCCCCACTTATACAAATAATGGCTTGGTGGTGGTCCCCACCCTAGCCCAAAGGACACACCTGTAGACAAATGAACTAAATGGACAAGCTACTTTAGCCAAAGTCCTGCTTCTGTTCTCACTACTCTAGAGGGTATATGCAGCCAAGAGACCAGCCCTGACCAACAAGGTTATTGCCAAAAATCACTAGAGATTTTACTCCTGGGAACATGCTGTCACCATATGGTCTCCACATCAATAACACCAAACAAGTCCTTCATAAACAGTGTTCTAATAACAAATACCAGAGGAATTAATAACAATTTAGCTATTATTTTCTAATGTTCTCACTTTATTAAGAACTTCTATACCGTCTGAATGAGCTATCCCAGAAGAACATCTGTCACCCACATGAATACCTGATGAAATCTATATGATCCTGGGTATCTTACAAATTTATTGTCAGCAACAGCATCTGTTTCTGCCAACATGGCTTACAGTAATACTACATTTTTTTTTCATTCTAGGTGCATAGCGTAATGTCCATGCTGTACTACACTCTGATTATAGCTTTTTTCATCGGCACACAGGCAGCTCCAAAGTCAGAAGACAATGCTCCACTGGAGTATCCTGCAGAACACTCCCTACCCAAATCCCACCAGAGTAACGGACACCACATTTCCAAGGCAGCTCCACAGACAACCCACAGCCACTCTACTTGGACGATAGGTAGAAGAGAAGATATAAACATTACCATGGACCCAAGTTTATTTAAGAAGAAGCGTTTCCGGTCTCCTCGGGTTCTGTTCAGTACACGGCCCCCTCCAGTATCAGGGCAAGGACAGAATATGGGACAGCTCAGCAGTGCAGTCTCTCTCAACAGGACTGCCAGGACCAAGAGGACAGCGCATCCTGTATTGCACCGGGGAGAGTTCTCAGTGTGTGACAGTGTCAGCATGTGGGTTGGGGACAAAACCACAGCCACTGACATCAAAGGCAAAGAGGTGACAGTGTTGGGAGAGGTCAACATTAACAACAACATTTTTAAACAGTACTTTTTTGAGACCAAGTGCAGGGACCCTAAGCCAGTCTCCAGTGGGTGCCGAGGGATTGATGCAAAGCACTGGAACTCTTACTGCACCACAACACACACCTTTGTCAAAGCACTGACAATGGAGGGCAAGCAAGCAGCCTGGCGGTTTATTCGAATTGACACAGCCTGCGTGTGTGTGCTCAGCAGGAAGTCGGGGAGACCCTGAGATGGAGCTAAACCCCATGACAACATCCTCCTACCCCCCTACCTCAGCTTGTAAATTATTTTAAGTTATAAATGACTGCATGGTGTATTTATAGTTTATACAGTACAGAAAGAACTTCATTATTTATTAAACTCTCTTGGAAACCTTTTGTGCTTGCAATTTACTTACCGTCAGAACCCCTCAGAAGATGTCCACCTTAGTCTCAGTTCAGCCCTACAACTCTGAAATGTTCACAGGACCACTGAACAATCTTTGTCCACTATCTTATAAAAAGACCACATTTTTCTAGTTTTTCATCACATAGCCTGCCAGTTTACTGTGAAAACCTTGTAGGTTTATTTTCAATTTAAATATTTCCAACAATTACGAAAAGACTGAAAAAGACCCTTCAAAACTTGCTTCCAGTTTTACTAAGTATACATAAAGGTATTAGTCTTCTATCATTAATCACCTCAGTGAATTCCAGGTAGAGAACACTAGTTCTGCATGTTGCTAGATAAATTTCTAATTTAAAATTGCCAGAATATTTTCATTACAAAAATAATCCATTCTGAATTATTTTTGAACACTTGTCTATACAAGAGCAGAGTCTAGATGCATGTATTTTTGAATTGGAATGGCATTTTACAGCTCATTGCTTAAGAGCTATATTAAAGTGATGGGGTTGTAAATGTAAATATATGTATAAAAATAAAAAATCTTCATAAGCCTTGTAATTAAGAAGTAAAAATTATCTTGAGGTGGTATTTTGACAATGAGGCATTGACATAGGGGCAAATCTTCTCATGGGTGATAGAAAAAAACACTAAGCCTGTATCTCAGCAAGAAGCCCCAAAATAACCATGGGCTCATAATTCCTGTGCTTTGGAGAATACTGATTTCTAGAAGTACATCGTGGAGACTGGTACTCGTGCTGGGTGTTTAAGTCACTGCACACTGGATAAAACTGTAGTTTCTCTCACTGATTCCTTTGGAAGAAGAGCTGCTATCCACTGCAGAAACTGTTTCAAAACAAATACCATTAAGGATTTTTAGCCAGGTTTCTTCCAAATTCTAGAGGGCACACTTTTGCCCCTGCCTTTACTCACACACTTATTTCTTTAATGAGAAAAACAGGCCTGACATTTGCTTCCCCAGGCTAAACAGCAAAGGAGAGTAAATCTCTAGAGAAAATGTATTGTCATAAAATACTGCCAATGGAAAATAATAAAATCTAGGTAAGATATGCTTTCTAGTAAGACATTGCCAGTCTGTGACATAGAAGGCAATAGTTCAAAGATGATTCCTGATAATCACTCATACGTCACTTTTCAGCCCCCTCTAGTAGGCAGTTATGGTGTGGGACATCAATATTCCGATAAGAATGTTTTGCCCCCTTCAGAACATTATTTTTTGCTATATATGCATGAATAGACAGTTAGCTGAAAGGTCTAGGAGAGGACAGGATCTTGATTGTCCTGTGGCCACACAGGTATCAGATGCTCTAACACAGTAGCAGAACACAGTAAAAGTGGCAACCACCTGCCACTCAACACAGGAGAGATGGAGGAAAAGCTCAGTGTGTGAAAAGCACAGCACCGTGAAGCAGAGAGGAATTTAGAATTGGAACAGAGTCATGCCTATGTTCTTTGGGAGCCTGAAAGCAATGTACAAAGGTAACAAATCCGTTCTTTACCATACATGACGCAGTGTGACTAGGGAAAAAAAGGAAGCCAATAGTTATCCTGGATTTCTAGGTTTCTGGTGAATGCCATTATTTTACCATTGACATAACAGAACTGCAACTGAAGCAGTGTCTCAGGATTGTATTTGGTAATTCCAAATGTGCAAAACTTGGCATTTCTTCACAGAGCCCTGAAACTTTCTTCTTAAAGCAATCTTGAGTGCTGGCATACCTTCCATAAGCCAGACCACTTAGAGTTCCTCTGCTACACCTTAAAGTACATTCCTGCCTCTAACACCCAATCTGCTAACAGACAAAGAGATGCCATTGGAAGACCTATTAATTACTATTATAAATCTGGACTTTTATTCTGTTCATTGAGGGGGAGAGTATTTTATAGTCTGACAGATATTGATGTGATTTATTCCACATTTACCACTTCAGCTGATTTTCATTTTGTGCTTCCAAGACTGAAATTAGACTATTGGTTCATAATACGTGACAGTGAAATATGTTGTTACTAACATTTCTTGCCTAATAATTAAAAAGGTCCCAAAAGAGAGGATAGAAAAAGCATGAAAAGGACAGTTTGGTGCATTCACACTTGGATCTTGATCCCAGCATTAATTGCAGAATCTAGTATTCCAGACTTAGAGCTACAAAAGCCACAATCAGTTTCCATCCCCTAACATGGAACTCATCCTCTCATCACCACTGTTATTACAGTTTTGTTTTGGTGGTGATTTTCAGTTTTGTTTTGATGTGTCTGAAGTCTTACTGGGTATGCAATCATTCCCACTGCTGAGCTGATGCCAAAGACCTGGAATGCCAAAAGCCCATTGTAATGCTCAGTCCTGCAAACAAGTTATTCGTTGTTAGGCCTTGCCTTGATTGCTTTCATTTCAATTGCAATACAGATAGGAAGTTTTGACATTGACAGAGGAAGAGCCTAGTTACAAAATAGTCACGCTTTCTCTAAATAGTTCCTTTCATCCCTTACATAACAATGCTTCTTGATTATCTAATCAAGTGTTCAAATGTGATTAAAGGGAAGCACAATAGATGCTGCACCCTTACAAGCCTTTTTTTAATAAGCAACATCTTTCATTAGAGCAACTAACACCACTGTCAGGGAGCTTGCTTGTAGGGCTTGAAATTGAGAGAGTGGCTTTAAACTAAAAGAGGGGAGACAGATTGGAGGTTAGGAGGAAATTCTTCACTCAGAAGGTGGTGAGGCACTGGAGCAGGTTGACCAGAGAAACTGTGGATGCCCCATCCCTGGAGGTGTTCAAGGCTAGATTGAAGGAAGCCCTGGGCAACCTGATCTATTAGGTAGCACCCCTGCCCATAGCAGGAGGGTTGGAATGAGATGATCTTTAAGGTCCCTTCCAACCTAAGCCATTCTATGATGATTCTGTGATGAAATTACTATGTATTCTTAGCTCTAGAAAAATCAGTTTCTATATTCCTACAAATAGGCTATTCTGGCAAGGCATCTCCAGCATTATAACAATCATTGGACCTGACACACAGTCTTGAATTCCAGCACTCGATCTGCACAACCACTGAAGATTGCACATTAACATTTCAGTAGGACCCTTCATCCAAACTGCTATATAAAACGAAACTAGCAAGAACTAAGGAAGATTCAATGTCACTGCCCACAGTGGAAGAAAATATAGAAGAACTATTATAAAGCAGTTTAAAGAAAGCTATCCAGCAGAACACCTGGAAGCAGCAGTCAGTAGAGGGACTTGAAATTAAGAAAATACAAGACAGAATTATCCAACTTCCAATCTGGCCAGGAGACAGTACTCAGTGGTTTTTAAAAGCGTAAGAGAATTATAAGAGGACCAACATCTCATTGAAAGAATGGATGCGCCTCTGCTTAGATTGGTGTTAAAGAGCAAAACAACTTCATAACGGTTTAAAACAGTGGTGACCTTAGCTGCACATCCTTAATGTTAAGGAGGGAAAAGGCCTACTGCACCACAACATCTGGGAGAACAAGGAGCGAGAAACAGCCCTGCAGGCACCAAGGGCAGTGTAGGAGGGGGCTCCAGGTGCCAGAGCAGAAGTTCCCCTGGACCATGGTGAAGCAAGCTTTCCCCCTGCAGCGCATAGGGTAACGCAGCAGAGCAGATCTCCATGCCACAGCCTGTGGAGGAGCTTATGTTGGAGCAGGCAGATCTGGCCTGAAGGAGGCTGCAGCCCATAGAGTTCACATGGTACAGACCTATAGTGGAGCAGTTCTTGAAGAGCTGCTGCCTGTGGGAAGCCCAAGCAGGACCAGTTTCTGAAGGATGGCATCCTGTGGGAGGGACCCCACACTGAAGCAGTGGCAGAGAGGGACCGTGAAGGAGCAGCAGAGACAAAGTGCTAGGGACTGACCACAGCCCCCATTCTCCTATGCTGCTGAGGGGGAGAACACAGAAGAAGGCAAATGGGGGGAAAGTGCCTTTAGTTTGCTGTTAGTTTCTCACTGCTCTAGCTTGTTAGCAATAGGTAATAAATTATATTAATCTACCTATGCTGAGTCTGTTTTGCCCATGATGATAATTATTGAGTGATCTCCCTGTCCTTATTTCAACCCTTGTATTTTCTCGCTCTTTCCCTTTTAGGAGGGGGAGTGAGAAAGCAGTTGTGGTGGAGCTCAACTGCCCAGCTGGGTAAAACCACTACAACCTTTGATCAGGAAAGTCATCATTTTGCTGCCTGTTGTTCATGTGATGGGGACACTACATTTCAATACAGTTAAAGTCAGCAGGATGGGGCACGAGGTTCTTTTGCTGTGTTTGTACTGAACTGTTCTAGAAAACAGTTATCTTGCTTTACACCAAAAGAAGAAAAAATCCCCTCAAAAATGTCCACACCTAAAACAGTTAAATGGATTACTGCTACAAATGCATATAGATTTTTCTTTTAAAGAATTACTTTTAAATAATATACTGCCTGCCAGAATCAGAGCACAAAATCCACCATATTTCTTTTTCAAACTTATCACTCACCTAGTGTTGATTCACAAGAAGGCCAGCAGCATCCTGCTTTGTATCAGAAATAGCGTGGCCAGCAGGACTAGAGAAGTGATTGTCCCCCTGTACTTAGCTCTGGTGATGCTGCACCACACAAACAGTGCTCAGTTTGGGGACCATCACTACAAAAGGGACATCGAGGTGCAGGAGCATGTCCAAAGGAGGGCAACAAAGCTAGTAAGGGTCTGAAGAATAAGCATTATGAAGAACAGCTGAGGGAGCTATGATTGTTTACCCTGGAGAAAAGGAGGCTCAGAAGAGACCTTAATGCACTCTACAATTAACTTAAAGGAGCCTATAGCAAGGTGGGGATTGGTTTCTTCTCCCAAGCAACAATGATAGGTCAAAGAGGAAATGGCCTCAAGTTGTGCCAGGGGAGGTTTAGGTTGGTTATTAGGAAAGATTTCTTCACTGAAAGGGTTGTGAAGCATTGGAACAGGCTGCACAGGGAAG